GGCCGATAGCCGATAGCGGCCGCGACAGTTGGTACCTGGCGAACGGCTGGAGAACGCCGACGTCAGTCTCGTGCCTTCGTTCATCGCTGGCTGCGCGTTCAACGATCACCACGCTCTGCCCGCGCCGGGACCATCCGACCAGTCGCTTCTCCTCGTCTTCGTCCCTTCTTCCTTCCTCCTCTCTCCCCTATAGGCGTCCTCCTCCGATCCTCCTCGGTGTCTCCTTCGTTCTCCTCGCTCTTCAAGGTCACGTCTCGTGTTCCGCTCAACGTCCTCGCGTCTTCCTAGCCACCGCGCCAGCTGTTCGCCAGAACCTTCCTGAAGGAATCCTCCTCTCTTCGTCCTCCTCGAATTTACAGCTCTACTCTCATTCTAATCTCGTTCCCTTTCTTCATTTAATATCCACGGGAATCTTCGATAGTCTTCATACTTTATTCATCTCTTTAAGCTTTCCTTAGTTTCTCTTCGTTATCCAAGCTCATTTATTCAAATTCCTCAATCTCTCTTCAGCTTCTTTAGCTACTTTGTTTCTAAACTCTTCGTTATCCAAGCTAATTTATTCAAATTCCTCAACTCCTCAATTTCTCTTCAACTTCTCCAGCTACTTCTTTAAGCTTCCTTTGTTTCCAAACTCTTCGTTTCCAAGCTCATTTATCCAAACTCCTCGATTCCTCAATTCCTCTTCAGCTTCTCCAACTTCTTCCTCCTCTTCTCTTTTGTTCCATCCTTCGATCAGCGATCAGGAACCTCCTCGAAAGTTCCCGCATCGCTCGCATCGTCTCCATCTTCCCGTTCGCCGTGAACTCGCGCGAGTGCGTGCCCGCCTCCAGCGGTGGCTGGTCAGTGTCGGTTCGATGTTCGGCTTGGGAAGCAGGAAGGTGCTCAAGTACTCGGCCATCGACACGTCCCTCTCCATCGACGTCGAGGACACCGTCACGTGTTTCTGCAGGTCAGTCTTCCTCGGGCGTACGCGTCGCCGCGCGGCGTTCGTCGCCTCCTTCGCGGTCTTCTTCGTTTTCTCGCCGATCCTCTTCTTCGTCGTCGTTTTCTTCGCGATCCTCCTCGACGGCGGAAAGCGCGCTCGTTCTCCGGAACGACGGTCACACGGGCTGCGCAGTGACTTTCTCCGTGAGAAAGGCGATCGCCACCGGGAGATTTCACGCGTTTGCCGGAGACTGGATTTCACGATCGCCGGAATTCGTTTCTCGGATCGTCGCCGCGTGCGAAAGTTCACCTCGGAATCGTCGGACGGCGTTTCGACTGATAAATCGATCGCGGATCACGGTTTTCTAGGTTGTGCACTGAAATTAGGGGTTGGAACGACGTTCTGTTGCGATACTGCGGGTTTTTGGTAGTTCGATGTTAAGGTCTTGTTAATGTACAGGTTTCCTTGTGTCGTAGACATGTGGGCAATCGTTATTGTGATCGGTAATCGATTGGGATCTGGAATTTTCGTTGAATCTTAGGAAGAAACTTGAAGTGTCTCCTAGTAATTGATTCGATTATTTTAGGTCACGAAGAATTTACAGGGTTTAGTTGTAACCGTCGATTAGGATCTAGAATTTCGATTGAGTTTCAGGAAACAGACTTTTGAAATTTGTCAACTTCACTTCGGAATTTGTAATCGACGCATCATTCGTTTCGAAGTGAATTAATTCTGTCGTTACAGATCGTGGAAATTCGAAGATTCTTGCGTCGTTTTCCACGGTTTTTTTCCGTTGGTTTCGATCGGCAGGATTCGATTCGTTGCGTAATCAACAGGTGATTCAGTTACTGCGCGCGACCATGAATAGTTCGTTCCCGAGATCGCGTTAATTAATCAGCAAACAATATGCCGAGGATTGTTGTAAAGCATGTGTTCCCCGGAGGCAATATTTGTTTCTCTTTTAATTGCCCCGATAGTGGCGAGAGATAACAGGCTCCGATGTGATACGCGATTTATTCCGGCAGATTAGTGCTCGGAGACCGACAGCTGTTTCTGTCCACCATTTTTCAATTATTCCGATACATTAATACAGAATTGTAATATTCTATTAACTGCCGGTATAACAGTAAATCACATATTAACACTATTAACTAGCGTATCAGTCAAAATGAGTGGTTTCGATTTTTTTATCTCACAATTATCGATATCTTCGAAGCATTGAATATTCAAAATGATTATGAAAATGAATAGTTTCATTTCAATGCTATAATGAGTGTCTAAAGAAACTGAAAATCTATTGTCACAATTTTTAGGAATTGCATATTAATCGTATTAAATGCTCGGTAGTCCTAGTGTTAATTAACGAACTCCTAATAACAACGATCCATACAACGAGTCAGTCTCGTACACTTTATCCAGCATTACAGTTTTCCTTGCATAACTATCATTAACGATCTAAAAGAAACTATGGAACCAATTAATTTCAATGTCACCGAGAAACGACGATCTCAAACCGATCTCCAGTCAGACATGATCGATCGGCGTGCCAAGGAAGCCAAGATTAATGTATTTTTGCCAGAGTCCTTCGATTTCACGTCGACTAATTGCAACTCAGCAGTCCCAGCTGGATAAAGTGATTGATTTCGAATTTTTCACAGAGATTCCAAGAAACTGTTGAATTAATTGAATAACGCTTGAACCACGTGTACGAGTCAATCGGAATTTCGATGAGTCGATTAATCAACGTTCTTATGTTTCTTAGAAGAGAATTCAAGATACGTTGATTTAACCTTTCGATAATTCCAGTGTTAACTCTTTTCACTCGAAAGGTGCCTCTCAGTCACTATTGGTGCATCAAAATTGTAAAATTTCGTATTTAACACGTTGAATGCCATGGGGGTCAATTATCTCGCTAAACAAGTTTCGTAAGATATGGTTCAATTTGTCAGTTTTAATATTTTCCCATTTTTCAATTGTTTGATTCGTTCATTTTTCAGTTCTTTAATTTTCCCATCGTTCAATCGTTCAGTTCTACAGTTTTTCGACTGTTGAATTGCTCGATTCTTCAGCCTTTTAACTGTTGAATCATTCAATTCTTCAATTTTTCAATTGTCGAATTATTCAATTCTTCAATTTTTCAACTGTTGAATTATTCAATTCGTCCATCTTTCAATTCTTTAATTTTCCAATGGTTCAATCGTTCAGTTCTACAGTTTTTCAACTGTGGAATTATTCAATTCTTCAGTTTTTCAACTGTTGAATCATTCAATTTTTCAATTTTTCAACTACTGAATCATTATTTCGTGAACAGATTCCTCGTTAAGTCAGTTGAAACAAATGTCATCCGTATCTCATAAAAATAAATCGAATATTTCCAGTGACAACATTTTTCGAGTGCAAACGGTTAATTCGAATAGCAGACGGTTCCAGCGTCCACTGGAACGGACAATAAAGAGAAAAAAATTTCCCGCGGCTTCCTAATGAATAAGAAAACTCGCGGGCGATTATCCCGCGACAATTATCCCGCTAAATAATGGCCCTCTCTGAATGGCAGCGCGTGACGGTGTCAAACGGGCAGGAGTTCGATTGTGTTTCGTAACCGCGCTCGTTTCGCGAGGTTATTGTTTGAACGAGCCGATAACGGAGGCCATTTTCGTCACGAGAGAGCTCAGACGGTACGCAAACAGTCGCGTTCGGAGAATTACGCGTCTCTTATCGGCACCGATCCGAAATTGTCGCACCGACACTGGAATTTCTGACTGAATATGTTTTCCGACGAGGAACTCCTAACCCTTTGAACTCCGTAGGCTCCAATATTGCACCGGTTATAATATCAAATATTTAACCAATCAAAGAAACTACTCTAAAATTATTAAATTTTCCACGCATCCGAATTTTGTACTAAGAAGGAAAATAAAGGAAGAAATGTTATAGCGTTTCTAATTTTCGCTAAGAGTACTATAAAAATAATACACTAGAAATATTTCAACATTTTCCGATGAGACGAAGACGATATTTTGTAAAACCAACTCGACGAGAAATTCACGCGAATCGACGGACAAAGCTGTTTTACGTGAACATTTCTCAGATCGATGCATTATATGAAGTATAATATTAAATATCAAACTTTATAGCTTCACTGTCAAATCAAGTCATCAATGTCATCTGTATCTCATCAGAAAACGTTGAATGCTTCTAATAAAAAACTTTCGAGCGCAAAGGGTTAAACGTACAGATTGAACAAACATGAAATTCTATTGCTCACTAAATTATTCACGATGAAATATTTCTATCGAGCACAATGAAAGAAATAATAGTGCAATCAATGAAATTCCTGATATTACGTGAAATATCATCGAGTAATCGAATTAATTCGAAATAAATCTGCAGCTGAATCTTTCCGCCGAACGTTAGTTATTCGAATGACATACGGTTCGGTTAAACTTAGATTGCGAACAGATACAGTGATGCAACATCATCGGTTACTTAGACGCCGCGTACCGTGAATGCATTTAATCCGCGGCTCGAACGATTCTCCGTCCGGATAAATATTCATCGGCCAGCCTCGTTATTATTAGGCGGGGCTCGTCGCGCAGGTCGCCGCGAACACCGGCTCGTCAATTTTTTCCTCGCTTTCGCCGGTGTCGCCCTGTATTCAGGAATTTTCACGGATTCCTCCGTCATTCATAAAAATATATCCCGATCCGCGGCGCGTGGAACACGCGCGGATCTAAAAATACCGGCGCCCCACGGCTAAGCCGAATCGAAGCGCGAGCGTGTGGGTACGTTCGTTTTCGTTAAATATATTTTCGCTTCTATTCCCGGCCCTCATTGGAATTAAATCTAAATATGTTTTCGATTCTATTCCGAGCCTCGATCGGGATTAACGCTGCTGCGATCTGTCCGACCTGCGTTCCGAACGCTTGAAAAAGTCGGATCAACCGAATACGCTGGCGGTCTCGCATTTTTTCACGAATTCTGAAGCTACTTTGGATTTCCCTCGATTTCTTCGGATACCTCTTATAATATCCGAGTGAAACTATTTTCGAAATCGTTTCGGATACTTCGAAAATATCGGTAATTGTAGGAACTTAGAGGTTAGTTCGTAGATTAAATGCTTGTCTATTGACAACCCTTATCTTACGCAGTAAACGTAGAAACGAGGTGACTACGAAATTCGTTTCTCTTTTCACTGAATTATTAACAGTGCAGTTGTTTCTTCAAGGTTTCCAAGTTTCAGAGTTCAGAGTTTCAAAGGTTCAAAGGTTCAAAGGATCAAACGTAACTGTGCACTGGTAACGGTTATTCGCGAATTTCCTCGAATTCCGAAGTATCTTCTATAACAGAGCGATACAAAGCACCGAAAACATCGAGAAACAATACCAAAATATATAAAATTCAAAAGAGAATTGAACGTAACTTAATATTTTATTAAGGTTTACAAAGGTTCAAAGGATCAAACGAAATTTTCGCGATGTTCCTCGAATTCCGAGGTATCTTCCGTAACAGAACGATACAAAGAACCGAAAATTTGACTGCAGTGATGCCAGAGAGATAGAAATGGATCGAAGAAGACCAACACAGCACGGTTCGTCCTAAATGCGGACACGGAAGCGTGTCGTGCTTCGATCTCGACTGAAATCGACTCGGGCCGCGCGGATTTACGTGTCCCAAGGATTACGCCGGCGTCCATTTTGCTTAGGACCGCCGCGTACCTGCAGTCACGAGTTTCCGCTCGAGGCTATCGGCACTCGGACACGCGGAGGAAACCGCCGTTCGAACGTTCGGCTCTCCGAGACAGTTCCGAGGGACTCAAAAAACATTTTTAGCCGCTCAGCGGAACGCCACACGCTCGTGAAAGTGGCCGGGAAACGCGCCGCGCTCAATGCCGTCGAGATTTAGCTCACTTTTTCTAGGTGTTCGATTTTTCTGTGGATTATCTGGCGGTGGTTGTCGAACAATTTATCGGGCTAACGATGAAATGTTTAAAGATTTCATAATGAATCTTATAATGGCTATAGCGA